GAGAAAAAACAGATGAAGCAGCAGATGCACAAGATGAGGACGACGGCGGCTATGAGGTAGTGTTCGGCCACCTGAAGCCAACGGCGGATCTGCTCATAACGAGTCTCCGGCGGGGGTAGTACGTCGTTGAATGAACTGATTAGATTTTGGAAGAAGGTTACGATGGTGGAGAGGAATTGTGAGAAGATGTTASSGGCGGAGTGAGTKAGTTTGTYSGTGTCCATYKGCTTCCAGCTCTCCGGCACATCGTCAACAATGGAGAATCCTCGGAGGTTTAGTTTTAGAGTCGTCGTCATTATGCTCTCACACACTCCCTCACTCCTCAATTCGGTTGATAAATAGGAAAAAGGAAATAAATGATGAAGTTTATAAAAGCAAAAGCAAAAGAAAGGCAAAGTTAAACAAAAAAAAAGTATACTCACCAAAAAAAAGTATACTCTTAAAAATAAATAGGCTGAATTGTATATTTGGTTTTTGTGATATTTAATTTGTTTTGGTTATAATTCTTTTAACTAACGTTTTCGTTAATTATGTTAAATCAATGGTCATTTTAGACTTTTTTCCTTTTCTTCTCTATGTATATATAGAGGAAAAAAGAAAGGGAAGCGTCTAAAAAAACCCAATGAATTTAGGGTGTGTTTGGTTTGCAGAAATGTTTATGAGAGATTTGGATTGGATTGGATTTAAAATCCATTCCTGTGTTTGGTTTGCAAAATTTGGATTGGATTTGAAATCTATTCATTTGTAAATCATGTTTGGTTTGTAGGATATGGATTGAGATTTTTTTTCCTTTATAAAACAACATATTATTATGTTCCATGTATCTAAACATAGTGAATCCAACAAGAAAGTGCCAAATAATCCAACATATTACAGTAGCAAGACCAAACCAGGCTGTTGCAATATCGATTTGAACAGAAGCCAAAACATACACAAAAGGGGAAAAGGGATTTGAAAATGTTATTAGCAAGCAATATTTCATCTTTGAAACTATTATATAAATCATTCAACTATTTTACAATTAAAATCACATAACAATTATATAACAGTTTCAATCTACTRTTATATAAAGGAGTAATATTCCATCCACTGTTATATAAATAGTTTCAATCTACTGTTATATAAAGGAGTCAATTTTCAATCTACTATTATATAAATCATTCAAAGACAGGGAAAAGGGATTTGAACAGAAGCTAAAACATGCTACTGGGTTTTTAACAGAAGCAAAACAGAAGTCAAAACATACAGAAAAGGGGAAAAGGGATTTCAGTATTGTTATTGGCAAGCAATATTCCATCTTTAACAGAAGCCAAAACATTCAAGAAAACGGGAAAAGGGATTTACCTGCTGAGTGATGAGAGAAGGTGACGAAGAGGAGGGGTTTACCTGCGGGTTAGGGCAGCAGCTTCGCGAGGGGACGGGAAGGGAGTACCGGCGAGGAGGACCAATTAGGGCTGAAGCTTCACGAGGGACGGGAAGGGAGCACCAGCGAGGAGGACCGATTAGGGCTAAAGCTTCGCGATGGACGGGAAGGGAGCACCGGCGAGGAGGAGGGTGAGGGGACAGGGAGGGAAACGAGGTGAAGGAAGCTAGAGGAAGCGATTATAGGAATCTCTTAGGATTTGGATTTTAAATCCCACCCTTTTGCAAAGGATTTCCAAATCCCATGTTTAAGGGATTTTAATGAAATCCCGGGATTTCAAATCCTGACGATTTGGCAAACCAAACACAGGATTGGAATGAATTTTAAATCCAAATCCCCCCAATTCCATTCCATTCATGCAAACCAAACGCACCCGTGCTTAACATGTTTTGGAATGTCCAAGAACTTAGTGTAATGATTAAGTCATTGTACAACTTTTTGAAACAAATAAGTCATTGGACATTCCAAAACATGTTAAACAACTCTCTGGACTTTCTAAAACTTGTTATATACACCCTTATGACCTATAAAACTAATTAACGTAGTAAAATAATAGAAAAAACATGAAAAAAAACCAATAAACATTCATATTTTGAACGATAAAGTCCCTAAACATTTTTTGAACAAAAAAAATACTTACATTATATAAAATAAAACAAATATACCAAAAAATACTTACATTTAAAAAAAATTATTGATAAAATTTATTTTAATTAAAAATAAAATATATTATGTCAATGGTTTTCAAATTAAAAAAATGTTTAAAAAGCTTTAAAAAAGATTACTGATTAAATTTATTTTTAATTAAAAATAAATTATATTCCGTATATGACTTTTCAAATTAAAAATTATTACTGATGAAATTTATTTTAATTAAATTTTTTTAATTAAAATAAATTTCACCAGTAATTTTTAATTTTTTTTTTCAATTTAAAAAATCAAATACGTAATATATTTTATTTTTAATTAAAATAAATTTAATCAGTAATTCTTTTTATATTTTTTAGTTTGAAAAATCAYTGYCAGAATATAATTYAATTTTAACTAAAATAAATTTTATCAAAAATCTTTTTTTTTAATGTAATTATTTTTTTTTGTAAATGTAAGTATTTTTTTGTTATATTTGTTTGATTTTATAGATCTAAATATTTTTTGGTTCAAAAAATGTTTAACAACTTAATCGTTCAAAATATGAATGTTCTTTGGGTTTTTCGGACTTTTTTCATTATTTTACCACATTAACCAGTTGTATAGGTCATAAGGATGTATATAACTGGTTCCAAAAAGTCAAAAGAGTTATTTAACATGTTTTGGATTGTCCAATAACTTATTTGTTCCAAAAAATTATCCAAAAACTTAATCATTCCAAACACTAAAATCTATTAAGTTATTTTAAAAATAAATTATTAATTAACTTTGACCTACAAAATATAAAAGGATTTATTTTACCAATAAGAAGGTATCTGGATGACGATTCACAATTCATGGACCTCCATGAAACTTGTTGGAAATGAACAACATTTTATTGGAAACATATTGCTATCTTTTTCAGTTGATTTATTGGAAACTAGTCCTCGATACAGTCTCCTACCAACCAAACAATTAAGAATGACATTATTTTATCTTTTTTATTTCAACAAAATACAATTAAATTCATCTTTATTTTATTTTATTTTTCTTAATTTATATAATAAAGTTTCAAAAATTCAAGTGTTTTGACTGTTTATCTTCAACATGTAAGAGTTTAGATGCTCAATTTGTCGTTCATTTCGTGGAAAGTATTTCGTAAATTTTTCATAAATGTAAAGTTTTATACATTATCAAATTTCATAAGACAACTCATCAAAGAAATTGTATATCAATATAGAAAATTTTAAACAATTATTATCTATACTACCTTATAAACCAGATTTATCAAAACTTTTAAAAACAATTTTTAATGCATAAAGTATTATACATTTATGCACAAAGTCTTAAAAAGAACTCATAATGCATTAAATACTACTACTTTATGTATTTTGACTTAAAATCTCTTAATTTACAATTAAAATAACTTATAATACAAATTACCAATGCACATTATTACATTTTTTTTCATGTTCTCAAGATACCTTTGACACATTTCACTCATGCCATCACCCTCTCAAACCTCTATGTTTTCTTCACATCCCCCAAAGTGAGATTCAAACTGATATTCATCATGAGTTATTAAAAGTTCTCTTATTTAATTGCTCTAGAACTCTCGGTCTCGCTCTCAATTTCTTGAGTTTTTGCTCTTGGTGTAAATCAAACACAAGTTTAAATATGTTGGATTTTAAAAAGTCATACAATTTTTTTCATTGATAGACTGAAGCTATAACTCTTATTTATTCAAGTGTAACTAAAATCATCGTTAAATCTTTTTTAATAAAACCAATGAAACTTCAAAATCGTTAAAAATTCACGACTTCCACCGTATTGCACGGATACACAACTAGTTTTAAGTGAATATATATGTATACACAAATTTAGATACACCTACCTAAATCCAACAATAATAAACCTAATTTATATGGAAAGAATCAAAAGTGAATCAATAAAATGGATAAATCCTCCTATATAAATCCACCTTCTCCATCAYTCTTTACATGCAAGTTGCAACCCTAAAAACCTTACACAAACCATGGGAGCCTCGGAAAGCACCGGACGTGGTGAGAAAGAGGAGGAAACTAATACATCCGCTGGAGGTCCCAATCTYGGCGCCGCTGCAGTAGCTATTGGCAGCGCTGCGGTGGCTGCATGGGGCGTTTCAAGAATGCTTTCCGACAACAGATTAGAGCCTCCCCTTTCCTTGCCTAATTCSGGTGGCACTACTTCTTCCTCTGCACCTCCACGTCGGTTCAAACTGAACACGGACGGTGCATGCCATCCCAACCATGAATAWGTTGACGGTGTTTTGCGAGGTCCGAGTGGGTACGCCGGAATCCTTCAAGACGGTTGTGGCAACTGGGTTCTTGGGTTTCGAGGGTTCATTACTTGGAGTGATTGTTTCACGGCTGAACTCCATGGGATTCTTAAAGGCTTGGAGCTTTTGGATAAACTCGGCTATAAGGAATCCATTCTTGAAAGTGACTCTCAAGCAGCTGTTCAGTGGGTTACTGGAGAGGAGGAYGTTGGCCCTGGTAAAAGTCGTGTCGTCGGTGACTGCTGGGAGCTGATCAAGAAAAGCAGGCATCTTGTTCGCAAAAACGGAATTACAATCCGTCGCTGTTCTAGAGATGCCAACAAATACGCTGATAAGTTGGCGAGTGTTGCGATTAAACAACGTGACCCATATGTGGAATTCACAGATGTTTCTCGTGAGATTAACATTCAGTCCT